CAGAGCTCTTCTGAGCCAGGAGCTCACCTGAATAAAATGCCTGCAAAGACACTGCCTCTCCACAGGCATATACACCAGCTGCATTCAGACTCTCATGGGATGCTTCTTGTTAGTATTGGGACAATTTGGGCCATAATCAGTATGAAAAGGAAGGATGCAATGAATGTTAAATTTCAAGTCATCAAAAGTCACTCTTCATATTGAGTCTAAAGTTTAAAAACAATAGGTGCATCTAGAATATACACTCTATACTGTTCCTTTCTCATCTCTCCATCAGCTAAAATAGCTCTTCACCCTCATTTTTGTGCGTTGGATATTTTCACTAGGGACAGTTGTAGTCCCTAATTTCATGAGTTTGGTTTTAGTCTCATTTTTTGAGATAGGCTCTTCCTTACGTAATAACAATAATTATAGTTACCTGACTATGGCAATGGACTCTTTTTTTCTGTAATTTATGGTTCTTTCCAGGTACTTTCTGCAGTCTTTTTATACCTCATATAATGAATGTATCTTGTTCTAAGTAAACAACCTCCTCCTTTCAGCCCAGAAAGCATATGTATACTTCCAGTGAAGTTACCTGAGTGTCCATTTCTATCATCAGTTGTCATATCTTTTCTAAAAGAAAATAAACATGTCTCTTTCTCCTTTACTGCCAGAAAGCCTCCCTAGTTCTTGTTCAGAACTTCAATTCAGACAAAACAAGCCCTGTTTGTGAATGGAGAAATTCCTTTATGTTCAGAGGGCCAGGACAAAACCTATGTGCCACTTAAGATCAGTTTACATTAGTCTGTGGACTGGAGTGTAAAGCTTATGTTGATCTTCTATGTAGAATAAAAAAGCAGGAATGAAGGAAAAAGTGTTTAGAGCTATTGTAAATCAGTTGGCTGGGATGTAGGTTGGGAACTTTCTGCAAAAAAATAAAAGCATTATGCAGTGTAAGAAACACTTTTTGAAGATCCTTCCTGAATTATAATTTAACTTCGGGTGATTTCCCAGTTCTTACTTATGAGCATATAGCCACTTGTAAGAATCTATACTGGATATGTCTTGGCTTTTCCCTCAGCAACAGACTGACTTCAGTGGATCAGGGATTACTGAGAGGATAAAACGAGGCTCAACATGTGAGAAGATTCCCAGAACTGCTGACATTTTCAGTACTAGGTATAGGATAGGGTGTGGATTTCTTAGTAAGCAAAACTGGAAAAATGGACAATTAAACTTTATCATTTGTGTTAAAATGGATTTGTATTGCAATAATAGCCTGTTAAAAATGTTCAACTCTAGACAGGCTATGAAGGATGAAAATTAAAAACCCCCTTCAGTTCTGACATCCTATGTCAGGTTTTGGTTTTAGGTTTTTTGTGTGTCTATTTTTGCATATGTATCCAGACTCTTTTCAGTGATGCCCAGCGACGGGACGAGGAGCAATGGCCATAAACTAAAACACGAGAACTTCCACCCTAACATGAGGAAGAACTTTACACTGAGGCTGGCAGAGCACTGGAACAGCTGCCCAGGGAGGGTGTGGAGTCTCCCTCTCTGGAGACATTTCAAACCCACCTGGACACGTTCCTGAGTCACCTGTTCCAGGTGACCCTGCCTTCGCAGGGGTTGGACTGGATGGTCTCCAGAGGTCCCTTCCAACCCTGAATATTCTGTGCTTCTGTGATTTTCGAAGCCTGAATTGGTATTAATCAAGCCCCAGCCTAGCTGGCTGTTCTCACTTCCATTCTCACATGAGCCATTTATTTTCTGTATAAGGCTGTGAGTGGGGCTGCAGGCACAATAGTCTGCAGAGCTGCAGCTGAGACTGTCCCAGTGAGGCAGATAACCACAGCACACTCTGGTTATCCTGCTGAATGCTAAAAAATAAATAATCAAACGATCACCCCAGTAGAATCTTTGTATTTAGAAATATATAGAACTTGTGCAGCTGGAGTAGCTGACACCAGTTGTTAGAAGGGAAAGGCTGCAGGTTCTGAGCCAGCTTCAAATGAGCCACAGCATCTCACTGCAGGACAGTGCCAGTCAGAGCCACTGACCTTTAAACTGCCTCTGCTTTGGAGCTGATTTGAATATATGTCTCCAAGGTATTACTTAATTTTCAAATCTACTTTAGATCTGTGGGTTTGGTACTCTTTTTATGACAATGGTAGTTGTTCCAAGTTTGTGTCCCAGCATTACAGCTGACAGCAGTCAGGAATGCAGCATGCTTATGAAAAACTCAAAGGCAGTCTCACACTCCTTGCCACCCTGGACATGTTTAAGTAGTGAGCAGGTCTGGTGTCAGTACAGCTCAGCTTTGCTGACACAAACACTGTAGTGTATTAAATATTCAATTTCATAGTATCATAGGCAAGGATAAAGTCATATTTTAACAGCACCTAGATTCACATCTTCTGTCATGACGCTTCTTTAAAGGGAACCATTCCTTGTGAATTGAGAGATCATTTCTTGCTGAGCAGCTCCTTATTCTTGACTTAGTATTTAGTGCTGTATGCTATGTGGAAGTATTGGAAGTATATGAATAACTACAGCTACAGGAATACCACCAAACTGATGTCAGCAACTTTTATAGTAATTCTAAATGACTGTCCGTCTGGGGGATACCCATGCCCCTTTTAATTCCCATTTATACCATATCACTTTACAAGAGCAAAACAATTTTATTTACACCCATGTTCAGTAATTTACTAATAAAAATACGTTTCACAAAGGCACCAAACTATTTTGGTGCTGAAATGATTATGGATTTTTTTGATCAGTCCTGACAGTTTTTGGTTTTAGGTACGTAACTGCAGCATATAAACATTGCCATGATGCTACCTGAGCAAGTGAAAAAATAAAAGTTGCTGGTGTTCCACATTTTCCATCTGGACATTACTTTGCACTGTATTCATGTGGATTTTGCTGACAATTTGTTAAAGCTAAAGACTCTGCAAAAAAATCTAATAAACACTGTATGCAAATCGTGTGCAGAGTAAAGCTTAAAATAATTTTAAACTTTGCTGGTGAATTCTATTATATGTAATGTTAAATACCTACTGTTGTTCAATAGGGGTAATCAAATAATTAATTCCAATTAAACCATATATTAGGGTGTGCAAATATTAGGTTATTATATTTATAATTTTAAACTGTCTTTTAATCCTAAGATTTTTTATGTACAATTTTCAGAAATTTGGAACTTAGTTTGACTAATTTTCACTGAAACACAGCTTCAGTCAATGTGATGGACTGCCCAGTGCTGTTACAGTAGTCTGAGTGCTAAGATGATGAGGAACTGCAAGAAGTTTGCAGTACAGTTATGTATGTCAAGAAACAAATTGTAAGAAAGCACTTCCTAAAATTTAATGTGCCCAATTGTAAGGATGTACTCTGTGCATGCAATAAATCTGACACAAGTTCTTGTGAAGGTAAAATATTGCACTGCTGTAATATGGCATTTGTTCAAATCATGGTTTGCTGAGGTCAAAGCCAGAATTTTAGTCACTTCCACTAATGCCTAGTGATGTCTTGACTTTTCTTTCTTTAATCTTGCAAATGTCAACAACTTTGCAAAAATAAATTACTTAATATAGTATTTTCTGTATTAATAGGGTTCAAACTTCTGCACAGTACTAGTAATCAACATTTATGTGTTCAATTACTTTGATCAGATTCTGTAAATATTTAAACCTCTGTGTGTTTCAGATGCATAATATGGAGCACTTTTGTTGGCGTTCAGCTGCATTGGCCTTCCAGAATTTCAGACAAGTGACACATAATAAATGATATTGCTCTCCTTCTGAAGTGTTTGATTAGATTTTAACAAGGAAAATCTTTCATCCTGGCTATAAATAAATGGTATCTAAGTTCAACTTTTTATAACTCAGCCTTGGTCCATGAGTTTTCAAAACTACTTATAATAAGGCTTCTTCCACAATAGAAGTAGGAAATTGTTAGATTTCCTGATTGTTAGAATTAAAATAATATTTGCATGTTGGCTCATTTAAAATGTTTCTGTAAAGCACTATTTTCTCTTTACTTGTAGCTGTTTATTAGTATTTTTCTATTATATATTCTTTAAAATTATGAGGTCAGGAAACTGTCAGAGGAAACCATCTTAGCTATCAGATGGCTGTGAAAAGAAAACAGCCTAACCTTTTGCTGAGATAAAACTTTAAGTTGCATTATGAAGGGTTTTTTTTAGAGCTTATGAAATAATTTTGGCAAAATTCCTCTTGGGTGATGCTATTCTGAAAGATGAGTGAAAAGAAGGAAGTGTGTTAAAATAAGTATTTGAGATTATTTTAGTGGAAGTTTTATGTCAAAATAATCTGAGAACCTGTGTCATAAAATCCTGTAGAAACTCAGTTTCCATTGCTGTATTCACATAGTAATCATAAATGGCTCTGTAAGGATCAGAGATACCTCACACTTGTCTTACTCCCAACAACCAGGTATCCCTCACCAAGTTTTATTTCACTTTCATTTTCAACCATTTTAACTTTCTTTTCACAGGAATTCTTTACAAAGCCCTTTTTTTGTGTGTGGAAAACAAATAATCTAAAACACAGCAACTTTTAATTTCCCTGGGCGATCATTTGGCCTTTTATTTGGCTTAGAAGTAAGATTCTACTACTGCAGCTACCAAGTCTGATTTTTCTTAAACAAAACAGAAAAGCAAACAGAAAGAACACACTTTTCAGTTTGGTAGTGTCCAGGTAAAGGGAGGGAAGAATCAAGAAGGTAAATTTGAATGAGAAGCCTGTGTTGACACAGCATTAAGAGTAGCAAAGAGAGCGGGCACTAACTTCTCAAACGTATCAATGACAACATGGCTTATGCAGCTGTGAGGAACAGTCTGTTGCTGCTGGAAAGGCCAGGTACTTTGCAATGCTGTGCTATTTTCTCATCTAACCTGTTAAATGCACAGTCCACACATTTTTACAGGAATGTCTGATTCAGCGCAGTGTTTGGCACTGCAGCAATACTCCCGCCCTCCACTTTCTGCTCACCCGTGAACTCCTTCTTCCTCTGCTCTTGAGATTTTTACCTCTTTACATTTCGGTATCTGACACACATATGCAGCACGCACAGGTCTTCCAACAGGACGTGTTGGTGTGGGGGGAAACGCTGTTGTAAACATCCATCTCATCTGGTCCGCGAACGCTATCGCAGCCTTCTGGCAGCGTGAGGAGACCGACAGCGGCCGGGAGCCGCCCGGGAGGGCTCTGAGGGACCCGGGAGGGCTGTGCGGGGCCGGCAGGGCTCTGAGACACCCGGTGGGGCTGTGAGGCAACCAGGAGGGCTCCGGGGCACTCGGTAGGGCTCTGAGACACTCGCTAGGGCTGTGCGGGGCCGGGAGGGCTCTGAGGCACCCGTGAGGGCTCTGAGGCACCCGTGAGGGCTCTGAGGCACCCAGGAGGGCTGTGAGGGACCCAGGAGGGCTCTGAGGCACCCGTGAGGGCTCTGAGGCACCCGGTAGGGCTGTGAGGGACCTGGGAAGGCTCTGAGGCACCCGGGAGGGCTGTGAGGGACCCAGGAGGGCTCTGAGGCACCCGGTAGGGCTGTGAGGCACCCAGGAGGGCTCTGAGGCACCCGGGAGGGCTGTGCGGGTCCCGCATCCCTGTCCTTGGTGCTCACCCTGCCCGCCGCTCGCAGCGCGCTGCCGCGGCCGCAGCCTCGCACAGCCATGATGGGTCTGCCCGCTCGGGGAAAACAAGCACGAATGCGCGGACATTCTGCCCCCAAAACACAGCTGCGTTAGAACTCCATGCATTGGAGCAAGCAATTAATTCAGAGATAAAAGGCTTCATTAATATGGCACCTAATTCTGTGAACACCCCGGCATGTACCACCATCATACACGCCCGCCGCTCCCCTCCCTGGCCATGTCAGAGCGACAATTGTAAGAGAAATAAAACATTGCAAGATCAGAGCTGCTAGTAGATAGATGAATGCAATGCCACTGCCCAAACCTCCGGCATTCTCACCGCAGATCGGCAAATTTGCAAACAGATTCTTCACCCCGCAGCCCTCCTTCCCCCCACCCCCCTAACAGAATCAGAAAGCACATCTTACCACTGGATGAGAGAGAGGAACAGAAGTGCCCACACCATCATTTTGAGAGAAAATGCAGGATTCAAGAATGCAGTGCTCCCCAGGCTTGTTGGATTTGGAGGAATCATCTCTATTCCAATCCCCCCCCCCCCAGCCTTTTCCCCCCTTTTCTCTTGGTTGCAGATGGATCCGTCCCCTTCTTTAATTTTTTTTTGGTAGTGGTTCTCCCCCCTCCCTACCGGGTCCCGTCAGTGGGATGAGACATTGCGCCCAGCTGCGGGAATTAATATGCAGGGGGACAGAAATTAGATCTGCACAAGCCCTTTGCAGATATAATCAGAAAACGTCAGCTCAGGCAGCAGGCAGCAGTTTCCAAATCTAGGGAAATAATATAATTGGGAGAAAAGGAAAAAAATAAAACCCAAACAAAAAGCCAGAATCACAGACATTCACAGAACAAAAACAGTCAAGGAAAGAAGCACATGCACATGCACACATTTACGGAACCACTGACACACATGCAAGAAAAGCCAACAGAGCAAGAAAGAGTAAATGGAGGGAAAAAAAAAAAAGAATGAAAGAATAAAGAAACGGAGCTTCTGTCTGAATGCAGATTAACTCTGAGGTCAAAGTGGAAATGATGCACTCTGCTGCAGCACAGATTAACACATGCGTGGTGTCAGTCAGGGTGCTTTTTAACCTTTGATTACACATATGCAGGCAGCCTGGATTTTCATTTTGGAGGCAAGAAGGATTTGGCAGGCATAAAAAAGGAGGTTGGAAAGAAAAGCTTGCCCTATGCTGCTGAGCATCCTCATTTTTCTAAACAGCCTGGAAATCGTGATTGCAAAGGAGGAAAAAAATGAAAGGATGGATGGGGGAGTGGAAAAGGGAGGGATGGTTGTTGCTAAGTGACTCAGGAAATGGGGAAAGCAGTATTGGTGGAGTCAGTATGAATGAGGTGAATTAGTGGATTAGGGGAAATATGCAAGGTTTTTATCTCCCCTCCCCCTAATAAAATCAGACACAGGAAACGCTTCCTGTCCAGAGGGGAAACACTAGATGACCATAAAAGCTGACCTGTGCCAAATTTTGGAACCAGAATCCCAAGTTCTATTGTCCAAAATGCAATTTAGCAACTATGAGTGAAGTAAAAAATTCAAGGAATCTCATGATTTCCCAAAGTAAGAGCACCTCAGTTGAAAATAGGTACTTGGATCATGACCAACAATAACAAATTTTTTTACCTCCCCTATTTTTATTGCCTAAACCACAGCAACAAACCTCCCCAATGCTGATTATGAATTGGTAGATTAATGGACTAACTTAATCATCAGAAACTGGGAGATGTGACCTGACACTGTTTCAGTTCAAAGCCCATCTTTCTAAAACTCAAGGGAGAAATAAAGAAATAATTATTCTAGAAAAAAACAAAACAAAACAAACAAACAAAAAACCAAACAAAAAAAAAAAACAAAAACAAAAACAAAACCAAAAAAAACCTTAAATGAAGAGGAAGTTAAATGTTTCCAATAGAATAAATGCATCAAAATTTCCCTCTGGACTGAACCAAATCTGACACTTGGATCCTGCTCAAACCTTTTAATACCCAGGACAATCTGGTAGTTCCCAATGTCCAAATTCAAAATGACATTTATCCATCAGAAAAAGATAGTTACAGTAGTTGCTGTCTCAGAGTCTCTGAAAACATAGATCCAGCCTTCAGCCATCAAGCTAATTTTTTCTATTTCCAAACACAAGATATTTAACTCCCAACAATAAGCAATAGATCAATATATTAGTTGAATGAAATACATCTTGGCCCTTGGATAGTTCTGTGATAAATTGAGCCAATATCTTACACTGTCACTGTATCACTGTTTCCAAGCAAACTAATGTTACAAACCTGGTTCTTAATATTTCCAATCAGTGGTCCTATTCTTAATTAAGTAATTTCCCCAACTTGTGAAATACAGCCACTTCAGTGATAGAAAGCTACCAAATATTCCAAATCTCTCTTTCTCTTGGTGTATATCTGTATATGTATATATGTATGCATGTTCAGATAGCAACATTTGCTCGTGGTACACTTCATTACCTGTAAACATGACATTTTTATGATTTTACTGCTGTAATTTCTCTCATCAGTTATCACAACATTCCTTTGAAGGATAAAAATGCTGTATATATTTTGATGAGGGAATCAAAATTGTTGACAGCTAAAAATTTGAACCGTGTAAATAGTTATTGTCTTAGCTGCAGCAATTGTGTCTGTTATAGCATAGCAGCTTTACTCTGCACTTTATTTACTGAAATTTTGTTCTGTTAGCAGAATCTTCTTGTCTGAAAAGAGTTCCTGGACTTCCTACAAAATTGTTATGCACCTTCACTCCAGAGGTTCAGCTCATTATTCTTGTTAAGAGAAGCAAAGGATCTACAACAGAAGAAAAGCCTGCTGACATCAAATCTTCATCGTTTTTTCCAGGATTCACACCACATAGAGGGTATGTCAAAAGAATTAGACGCTGTAATACTAATCCTTGGCTGCTGAGATTTCACTAAGGTAGAGACCACTGATAACATTATTCCTGTAGGTATTTTATAAACTGTACCTTCTATTCACATTGTTAATTGGGCATCAGTGGGGTTTGATAGCCAAGAGTACTCTGAAGATTGTGTAGATTATTCTGCATATTAAAACTTGCATCATCATATTATGATTAATTTTTCATCTCAGATGCATCTACTTTAATTTTTTTTCAGCTGGATGCAACTGACATTCAGGCACCGACTTAGGTAGTGGCAATTAGGGTCTGCAGCCTCTGATGCAGTAAGGGGACCACACAGGGGCCAAGTCAGGTTTTTCAGTGCTCCTGGATACCATCATTTAGATATCAAAATACTTGACCCTGGTACGTAAAACTCATCCACCAATAATCAGGCAATACTAATTTTGGCTGTAAGTATTTTGAAATGCAAAATTGTCCTTGTGTTTCTTTGCAACCTCAGCCTGAAGAAAGAGAAAGCAACCCCAGGTTTTATGCTTAATGCATTTCAATATTATAATCTCTGGTTATGCTGATAACCCGTGCCAGGAAAAACTTTGTTTATCTGTAGCAGATAGAACTGCCATAGAAAACAAAAATGTGACAGGCTGTTTTCTATCTGAACACACGTTGTCTTTGAAGCACAGTGTTCTGCTTTCTGTGCCCACAAGCTCGGATCAGAATTCCATCATAATAAATTATCACAAAGGACTGAATTTACATGAGGACACTGCCCAGTGTGAAATGTTTTCCTGACACCTTTTGTGTGATAAACCAGTCCCACATAATAATTTGCCCCTGAGCACAAATGTGGTATTTTCACAACAAACTTCAAGTTTTTTATGTAAAAAAAGTCTTGTGTAGAGTATTTAAACACAGAAGTGATTGTTCCAAAAACATGCATTCTTTATCAGACCAGAAAGATGTTCATAAGAGTATTTTAGTATATTTTGGCATGTCTTGTTTGCCTACAAGGGGGTTCTCAGCTTCCATGATTTCCCTAGTTGTCTGTATGCTTAAGCTCAAAGAAAACGTGGCTCATTTGCTCTAAAATTATTTTTTTACTGTCTATCAAATATTAAATCACACATTAAAAAAGGAGAAAAAAGATATATGTGAACAAGCAAATGCAAAAATAAGTGTTATAAAAGATGGATAAAGTGAAAAAGAAGGGCAATGTCAATGTCAATATATTGCCCCATTGTCTTTTATCACGTTCCTATCTGGAAGTTCTTTCTGCATGAATCCACATATTTTAAAAAACAGCTTGTTTAAAGCTATATATAAATATATTTTTATAGCAGTAGTATTATAACATTGATAACATTTTGCTTTCCTTCATGATTCTCCTAGCATACTCTAGCCAGGGATAAATACCTTAATTACTGAATTCTTGAGAAAAACAGCATCCGATATAAAACATTTCTTTGATGGAATTTTAGGATTTGATGCAATCTCTTCTTTTTTCCCATGGCCTATCTTCTAATACATTTTATGGTTGTCTAACTATATTAAAAAATGGAAAAAACTCAGAATGAATTTTGAAAAACTCCTAGAAGAAAAACCTAGGTCATGGTTTTGTACATTTATTACTGTACATATGTATTTGTGATTGCGTATGGGGGGAGTGTTTTCCTATTAGCTCATTATCCCACTGATAAGGAAAATTCTGTACTAGAGCAGGAACTGCCAGGTCTGAGCACTTACTGCCAAGTCAAGGGCCTGTGGGTGGACTTTTAATTTAGAAGACCCAGACACTCAGTTTGCTTTTAATCCATGTGCTCAAAATACAGCTAGTGTGTGAAAGAGTTGGTATGGAGGTGGCCTGAGCAAAAAGGACACTAGAATAAGTGCTAGGCTAAAATCATAGTTCAGAGATGATTCTTGCCTTCTTAATCAATGTAAAATCTGGACCCTTCAAGCAGCTTTTTAAATCAAGTCTGACAACATTATTGTGACTGCCCAAATGTATACATCCATATCAATACTAAGTAAGTGAACTCAAAAGTATAGTGCACAATGCATCACATATAGATCTCTCTCTATTTGGCCAAATGTAACTGAAATCTAATTATTAGTAGTTATTTAATTAGAACATAATCACTTCTTAAAATTGAGTCTCACTGCTTCTTTTCCCTGGTAAATATTGGATGGAGTCAGACAAATTGCCTATCATTGAGTAGAATATTGATGTCCTAGAATGGCAAATTAGGACTTAAGGTTTGTTCTATTATTTAACCAAAAAAGTGTGACTTAAGCATTGTTTCAGTCTTATCTATTAGAAGTAAGATGATTTACTTAAATTGTCAGACTAAAAGAAAAAAACCCAAACTAAATAGGTGAGAATAATAATTCTTTCAAGAAAGTCATCAAACTAAAGCCAGCTTCTTAGAGGATTCAACCTGCTGCATTTTTAAAAAGCAAAAATCTTGTGCTGCTTGGGAAATTATTTTTAAAATGAATTATTTTAAAGCTTTGCAGTAAAAAATTGGGAACTCTTTCCTAAAATGGGTATACAGTGGTATTTCAGGATTTTATGCAAAGAGAATAATTTTTTTTAAAGATTATCATCAGGTTTCCATTCCAAACAATCACTTTCTGAGTATTTGACTTAAATGAAAAAATTCTGGTAGCCTAACTACAACCAAAACACAAACCCAAAATAGGCTGTGTGCTTATGTGCTTTGATCTTGTGCTAGAACAGGAAAGAAAACAAGTTGTTGGCTAAGGGCTTTCTCTCTGTACTTAGATTTACAAGCTCGTACCAGAAACAGACACCAAATGCTATTTTGTGCAGTAAATATCTAAGATTCTGTTACCATAAAACTCTTTGAGGAAACTGCAAAGCCCATCTTCCTGCCACTGACCTGACTGAGCCTTCTTATGCTGTACTGTTACCTGGAGGGTCCAGTTCCATGACACTACATTTTTATGTGAAGAAACCACTATACTAAGATACTTTCTGAGGAACACAATAATGGTTGTTTTCTGAATAGTTTTTTTAATGCTTAAGAAAAGTCTCTGCTCTGCAAGAGTTTAAGAAAAACATGATTTTGAGGAGTCGTATATTCATATTAATGAATAATATGTATTCATATGTATTAGTCTTCAGCTGGATTTCTTGTGCACAATATTTTATACAGTTTATTTTGTATAAAGAGCTTAGATCAAACCCCTGTGTTCAAACTACAGCTTTCTCCCTATACATACCTTGTGCTAACTCACTACATGGAAGACCAGTGGCTTTTAAACCCTCCCAGGAAGGCAGACTCTGCCTCAGCACTGGGCTGAAGAGGAAAGGAGGATGCTGGAGTTGGCCACTTCTCAGTCGTGAGGAGAAGAGACTGGGCTCATGGGCAAGGCTGGGCTCAGTTCTGGGGGGAATCTTTATATGAAGGAAGGAGGAAACACTGTTCATATAATATGAACTGTGGGATGAGTTTAGATTTATTGTTCATAAATATGGTTATGACCAGTGGCACTTCAACCTATTTACATGCTTTTTTTTTTAAATTATTTTTCAGTACTTGCATGTAACTTGTAACTGCATATATTCTCTATTTAGCAATGAGACAGGAAGAGATACTATGTGTACAGAATCAGCATTGAATGTCAGAGGGAAAGACACAGTAGAAATTTGAGAAAAGAATACTTTTCAAAGGGCACTTTTCAAGAACTATGTTCTGGTATTTGAATATATGTGTATCGAAATGAAACCAAACAGGTCTTCTTGAAATCAGCTATGAAACAGCACATTTGGTGGACCAGTATGATTGCAAATATATTCTCATCTGTGTATACTCACATTTGGCAGGATTAATGTGTTCTGTAAATGATATGTTTATCTTCTAGGGCACTGTATATATCACAGAGAGCTATCAACAATCAGTTATTTCCTGCTGCCAGTGGTCAGTTTGCCATTGAAAGCATTCACTATCACTCTATACTAAGGTATAAGTGAGTGATAAAGTAAGGAATAGAGTCCTTTTTCTTTAGTTGTTCAATTCAATATTTTAATTTTCTGTAAAGAGCATGATGTTTTATGCTTTTGGAAAATTAAAAATTTAAGAATTTTTCTTATTTATTCCTGCCAAAAAAAAGAGTGTTCTTGAGGCTGCTAAATCTGTTAATTTAAACTGTGCACATCTAATGTATTATTTTCATTTTCATGAAGAACAAAAATTCTTATAGACCAGGAAAACACAGTTCATTCATTTTTTAGTTTTCCCCAATCTGTAATGCAACAAGAACAACATCAGCACCAACTACATGGTTTCTGCACACTACAAATACCTTGGCTATCTTAAAAGAGTGATTACTTCTTTCAAAAAGAAGTATCTTATGACTTTTTCCACAAATAGATATATGTTTTTTGAAGACTAAAGTCTACAGATTCCTGACAAGAGGCCACAGGAAGCAGCTTGATATGCCTGCTTAGGATAAAGCCCAAGCTGAAGTCTCACAAACTTTGATGAGAATTAAGAGCGTTTGACTGCTGTCTGTATCAGGGTTGTCTAAGTCCAGGTCTCTGCTCAAGGAGGTGCAGCCTTCTTTTCCAGTAATGCAAGAAAAGGCTGCTACCTGACAGAAAACAGTTCAGCCTCAAAATGTCACTTTTCACAATTTTAATCTCTATTTTTTCAGTAAAGATATTTTTACTGTTTCTGCTTTTCTCTCGTACCAGGAAAGTGAGGTCTAAAAGTAAAAATGTGAGATTTAACAATACTAGATCTTAATTTGTTTATCAGTGAATATTTTAAGACACCAGTCTCCAGGGTCTGTGTTGTAGCAAACACTCAGAGCATGATGTCACTCCTGTCAGACCCACTGTTGTTGACTTTTTCTATGGTTGTTATCCCTTTTGTATAGAAAATGTGATTTGACATACACTGGAGGTTTTCCAGTTTGGTTGGTGTTCAGTCATCATGGCTGGGCTTCATGAATGAAGATTTGGGAAGGGCTCTACCCACACTTGTTATTAGTGTTCAGTAACACAGAGGCAAAAGCTCTGTGTTTCCATGCCAGATTTGGTATTTTACGTAATTTTAAGATCTATTTTGATCTATCATTATTTCCTCTGACTGCAACATTCAAAGTCTGGTTCCATCAGCAATGCAGTATCTCCTTCCAAAGTGAATGTGAGGAAAAACTTCCAGCCATTTGTGTAAGAAGACATTTGGGCACAAAAATGGTTTTGTGCAGGTTGAGTAGAGCAGGAATGTCTAAATCAGGAATGGATCCAGAGTCCCCAGCTCTGGGCAGCCTTTGCTGGGAAAAACTTACAGCCAGGCTCTCCAAGAGAATGTTATGTCCATTCTGTATAATCATTACAAATGGGGTTTGATTCTTCTTGGTTGGGGTTTTCAGAGATACTACTTAACTAAGTTGTGGATCATTTCAGAGCAATCCTGAGGAATAACAGAAGCAGCTTTTTATGCCTCTGAGGTAGCAAGTTTGCATAACCACCAGCAAAACATATACTTATTTATGTATTATTCATTAGGGTCTATGTTAGAGGTTATAGGAAAAACAGAGAGGTGTGGTAAAAATCACAAGTTTAGATTCAAAACTGAAATTTCACAGGTCTCAGTGGAGATATGGGAAGTTAAAAATTCAAAATTTTATCTTTTTTTTTAAAGCTGATTTTCCTACTAGCCCAGAAACATTTTTTTTTTACATGTGGCATTTCTTTCTTTCCACTCTAAAAATAGATATGCTCACCCTACTGCCCAGTTTGGCTTTGAAGTAGCCAGGAAGGGAAAAGGTGCAGCCACCCCAGCACTTGTGCATTGTTGAGACATGAAGGGATTTAAGCCACAGGTTACAGTGCACACTTTGGTTTTGTGAGTGTAATAATCTTTCTGAATGTAACACCATTTTTCCAGTTAAACATTGTCCTTTTAAACTGCTCTGTTCAGCTGCATTTCCTAAGTGTTCATTCCATGCTGCTGCTGCACAGCAGGAATGGAACACGTGGACAGTTTTTTCCAGGGAGGCAAAATACTACTTAACACTGTTTAAAAGAGACAACAGATGGGGAGACTGTTTCTCAAAATAATCCTCCCTAATGGACATTGCAGTCACAATCCTGCAGAAAGAAGGAGGAGAAAAAATCTCTGCAGTATCTGTGAAAGGAAATCCTGAGAAAACAAATAAGTTAGGCTCTTTTAAACAGACAAGTGACTGCCTGGAGTTATTTATGCATAACAGCATTTGTTTAGTTACTTCTTTCCATGTTGTTTATGGATGGTTTAACTGAATCTTCAGATGGATTCTGTCAGATCACGTTTCCAACCCTGATTCTTTTACACTGCTTCAAAGTATGGACAGAAATTTGCTTAAGCAGCTGGGGAATTCTTGGCATCAGGATACCAAAGGTAATGCCAGCCAAGTTGAGGCCATGTTTTTTGCCACTTATCCTTATCCTTCTCACCAACATGGAAAGCAAATGTTGAAAGAGAAGATTCTCCCTTTTCATGCTTGCAATGCCATCCATATATGCAAATCTTTCTCATCACTTCTTTTCTCCTTTAGGCAATGAATAAACTATTAATCTGTAACACTTCACAAAGTTCTAGTGCTGTCCTCATACATTCTGTATTTTTTTAGTGTAATTAAACCATATTTTCTTTATTCTGTTTGTTGATCTGGGCAGTGTCTCATACATTCCTTTGTAGTATCTAGAGGCTAATTGTAATCCTTGTTCAGGGTTGTAACATTCATTACAACTGCTCTCTAACATTTCGGTTCTGTATTTATAAATAACCAGTTTTCTCTTTTTTCACAACTCTTTTTCAAAAGTCTTGCTATCTTCAGAATTTGCATATTCATTGTTTGGTTGGGTCTATTAAATTGTATGGAAATAAACATGGATTTTCCCCGTAGCAAAATGTCACAGAATAAGCTCCAGTACTGCTAAAATTGGTTAAACTAGGGGAATGAAAGAGAAAAAAAAAAAGAGAGTGGGCTGGAAATAGGAATAAGAACAGATGGCCTAAGTTAACATTTTTAGATATTATATTACATAAAGTTGTAGGAGGAAAACTAAAAAGGTAAATAGCAACCTTTTTAATAGCAGAAGTGTTCTGTTGATACTCTCTCATCCGAGCTCATCTGCGCTAATGAAATAAATGGCCTTACCAAGTCTTGGTTGTTCTCTGTGTATTGTACAGGTATGAAAACTGAAAACCACACTGCTAAATAGAACCAATTTCAACATTAAGTTGTTTAATTCATTAAGGTGGAGTTGCAAGGATACCTACAACAATTATGAGTGTCTCTGTGGCTTTTTAAGTCTTTTGTATTTATTTGAAAGAACACATTTATTATTGTGCGTGATCGGCTCTGCATAGCTCATTTGCAAATTAAATTCACAGTAGTATCCTTCAGAGACACTCTGCCACAATGTGTCTCCAGAGGAGTGTCTGTAGTTTCTGGCTTGAAGCTGTCTACCACGCTTCATGTGTGATTTCTCCAATGCCTAAATCTTTCTTTAGGAGCTTGGTTACTACCCAGACTTTTATAACATTACCAAGAAACTTCCAGCTGAATTCCAGCAGCACTTCTCGTTTTATTGTGTGAAAAGAAAAACAGAGTAGATTCACTTGTGTATTTTTTGCAGAGAAAGGTAATTCAACTTAGTGACTGGGAGAAGACAAAAGTTTTTTTGTATGTCATTATATAAAATGGAACCTGGACAGATCGTCAGGGGATTTTTGACTTGTCGCTGGCATTAAATTAGAACACAACTGTATATATAAGACTAAAGAATGTAGGTCATGTCTAAAAGTATAAAGAGTGCAGAGATGCAACGATTCTGAAATGATCTGGGATAGTGGTTACTCATTCTGTTTTGCCTGAGAAAGTTGCAGTCCAAAATATTGAGGTATTTTGAAGTACTTGACTTTAGACAATGTTAGGATTTATTCTTTTAGAATTATGCAATGCAGATTCCAATTTATCTAGGTACAAGAGGTCTTAACTGTTATAAAATAAATTGTTAAAGCTGAGGTTTTTTAATGTTAAAGGCGAAATCCCCCATATGTGACATTATGAAAACACTCCTCACCCATGCTCCAAACCATTTAGCAGCATGATCAGCAAGGAGCAGACTGGGAGCAGAACAAAAATGTACTACTTCTGCTGGCTCTGAGGAGGAGCAGGTGCAGAACTGATCAGCATGGCAAAACAGGCAGAATCAGGAGCCTCAGGAGTCTCTTGCTGACAACGGCTGGGCCCCATCAAGGTCATGCAGAAGCTGAATGACTGGTGTCAAGGTACACATCAAAATGTAGGGGCCTGCATGTAAAATGAAAGCTCCTTTCAGGTCCTTGAATCCTTTTATGAGTCTGGAGAAATACACTGAAGATATAAATGAGAATAGAGGATGAAGAAAGGGAAAAATGAAAAGAAAAATTCTAAAATAAGCATTTACCTGCCAATGATCGAGCACTTTAGTGAATCCATTAAGGCCCAAAACACGAGTTACATCTTTAGATTGTAAACTCTGTATTGAAGTCAGATGTTCTTCACTAATTTATTGCCTAACAAAGTTTTCCTACTTACTAATTTAA